TGATGTGAAAACAAATTTCCTGTCCAAAACCAATAGTTTTAATAATTTTAATTAAACACTACATTTTTGCATTAACGAAATAATAAATATTAGTTACATTATGTTTTATAATTGTAACAAAAAATAAAAAAGTTAGGTTATAGATTTTTCCTATGTGCAATAAAGAAAAAGAAAATCCATATTTTTAACAAAATAATTTTATGCCTTTTATTTAATTTACTATGTATTTAACAAAAACTATTGCATTTCTATTGTATTTAACAAGACTATTGCTTAAAAGCAGTGGAAACGCAATCATGCAGCCACCTTTACTCCCGGGTGGGAAGCCCACCCGGGAGTAAAGGTGGGCTGCAGTTTCGTGGCCCGCAAAAAAAAACCCTTTACTCCCGGTGCGTGTTACCAACCGGGAGTAAAGGTACCTTTACTCCCGGCTAGTGGCTGGCACCGGGAGTAAATCTCCTAGGTATATAACCGCCAGTGCCAGGCGCAGATCGATCCCCTCCTCTTCTTCCTCGTCGAACACCGCCGCCCATTCTCTTCTTCCTCGTGCCGTCGCCGATTCGTCTTCCCCTGCGCATCAGCCCGCCCCCGTGACACCGGAGCTCGTGCCTCGCCTCGTGCGGCCCTCCACCACCGACAACCTCGCGCCGACGACCTCGTGCTGCCGGGCCTCCACCGCGCGCGCCCGTGGCCCTCCACCGCGCCCGCCCGAGGTGAGAGTTCTCTGGTGAAATGGCGTCAGTGAGGGCCCATGCATATGGTTGGGGTCCTTTGCTGCTTGTCGTCCATAGCGGAGGAGCCATCAGCTGCTCGTCTTGGGGGCATGCCATGCATGGTTGTCAGTTTCAACAATGGCGTCTTAATTGGGGGCAACGGCATGCCATGGCTGCGGCGAATCATTTCCTTGAAGCACGCCACGCGTGCAAGTCAACAACCTTGCCGAGGTGGATGCCGAGGTCTTGTTCGAAGCAGTGGTAGACGTAGCTAGCTGAAACTTGCAACATCACGACATCACGCACCGACGACACCGCCCCGGCCCGCCTCACGTCGTCGTCGTCAGCACACCGGCCACAGCGCCGACACGTATATATACGTCATTTGTATTCATATGCATGTATATATACGTCGCGGAGCACCGCCGCCCTCGTTAGCCTATGCGTTTCTATGTATACGGCGAACACCGCCGCCTCTCGTTCACCCATGTGTACAAACATATATACTGGCGGAGTTGAGCACCGCCACTCTCGTCCACACCGCCCCCTCTCGCGGCCTAGTCGATCAACATTACGTATTGCGTATCGGCATAAAATATATTGTAGTTAATAAAGTGACTATGTTTAGTTTAAGATATATGATGAATGACTACATGGTTCACATGGTACATAGGATATATAACAACATCATGCACTGACACCGCCTCGGCCCGCCTTCCACGTCGTCGTCGTCAAAGACACCGCCACCGCGCCGACACGGTTATATACGTCATTTGCATTCATATGCATGTATATATACGTCGCGGAGCACCGCCGCCCTCGTTCGCCCATGCGTTTCTATGTATACGGTGGAGCACCGCCGCCCTCGTTCACCCATGTGTACAAACATATATACGGCGGAGTGGAGCACCGCCACTCTTGTCACACCGCCCTCTCTCGCGGCCTAGTCGATCAACATTCGTATTATCGTTATCGTTAACGCTAAACAATCACACCAGGGCGAATTGCGTCGGTGACTAGAGCGAGCCGCGTTGTTGATGTCACCGACGTGGTTCGCCCTAGTCACCGACACAGTTCGCCCTAGTGTGGCGAATTGCGTCCGTGACCGAGGGGCAAGATTTAATAATGCATATTGTTCGTAGATTTTACGCATGTAAGCAAAGATTTGACGTACTATATATTGATTTTGTTTTTTGAAGCTAGATGGCCGGCCCGAGAAACATGGATGAGGAGGAGTTGATGATGAATTTGATCAACACTGGCACTCAAGTTGCCGACGATGATGGTGCTAAAAATAACGTGCAAGAGGATGCAGATGACGGGAGTCAGTACTTAGCTCTTGAACAAAATGAGCAACAACATATTGGCCAAGTATATATTTTTTATTATTAGCTATATAATTATCATATGTCTTATGTGTGCTCATGACATTAAAAATAATGTTTATGTTTTGTAGCCCTCTGGATCGACATCAACAACTACAACGAAGAGTAAAAGTGTTCGAGGTCCCAAAAAACCATTGGAGGGCCGCTTCATCATCTCGGAGTTCAATGTGGATACAGGCGAACCGAGGGGGCCAAATAAAATGAAATTCGTGCACCACTGTGGTTACCTTGTACGAGACCGGCTCCCGATCAGTACCCGCGAATGGAAGAAGAAGACCAATGCTCCTCATATCAGTTTTGTCTCCGATCGTGACAAGACGTTAATTTGGAAAGATGTCTTGGTACATTTCACGCTCCAAACAGATGGTTATGATGATATTATAGATGGTGATGAATTGAAGGAGCGAGTTAGGGATTGGGCAATGAAGAAGATGGCCACCCAGTTTCAGACTTGGAAGAAACACCTATACACGACGTATGTCAAGAAGAACATAGCACCAGATTTTACTGTCCCAGGCCCGATCTCAAAACAGAGGCCATATTGGGATGAGTTTGTACAGTACAAGATATCGGAACAGGGTGCAAGTCGGGTGATAAAGAACCAACGTAATGCCCAACAGAAGACATACCACCATAACTTGGGATCAGGTGGCTACCCGACTGCCATTAAGAAGTGGAACAAAATGGAAGCAGACCTTCTTGACAAGGGTATCACACCCGAATCACACGAGTGGGGAGAGCGTGCAAAGAATTGGTTTTTCGCTCATGGGGGGACACTGGACCAGGAGACAGGGAAGTGCGTTTATGGCGCAAGACTACAAGAAGCAGCAGAAAGATTGTTTTATGCTCAGAGAGCTACTGCTAATGGTGCGTTCAGGCCCAACAGAGAGAAGGATGAGCTGACATACGCCATCGGGACTATTGAACATGGTGGCCGAACTAGAGGCAAAGGAAGTGTCTCGTGGGAGCATGGATTCCCTCATGACAGACCTTCCTACAGAAGCCGCCAGAGAAAGAAGGAAGAAGAGGCACAGCGGCTCCAGAGGTTGGAGGAAGCGGTGCGTGAAGCACAGGAGAGGGAAAAAAACCTTGAAGTGAGAATGCAGGAGGAAATCAGAAGGCAAGTGCAAATAGCAGTGAGTGCAAGCAAGCAGGTATCAGAGCTAGGAATCAACATTAGCCAATCTGTTCAGTTGAAAAGCAATTGCGCTTCCACGGAGATACCAAATCAAGGGGACACAGGACTGCGCTTCCCTGTGGATGACGTCACTGAACCTTGTACAACGTGTGAGCTACACATTCCGAAGGGAAATTCCACAATCAAGGTGGCTATCGGTCTTGTTAATCCTATCGACCGAACTAAGACACCAAGGATTCATGGGAATATAATCCAAGAAGGATATGCAACCATCTCGGTAGATAAAGCTAAAAAAGGTTTTAGTGATTTGCCTCTTGACATTCCTGGAGGTGATGGCGAGAAGACTCTAGGAGAAGCGGAGAAGACATTCATTCTATGGCGCAAGCGCTACATTATCAATCCAGGGATGTCAGCTCCACCACCTCCTGAACTACCTCACCATAGGTACGTGCGGATGAAAACACTACATCATTAATTTGTATTGGCTTAAATAATTAACAATCTGCTCATAATAATATGTCATTCCTTTTTTTTTAGCAGATCCTCCCCCAACCTAAATCCAATTGTTCAATCGCTAGATCATCATAGTGCTCTGTACGATGACATTGTGTTAGAAGGCGAGGCTGCATCCACACCATCTCCAAGAAGATCTCCAACGCCGCAGCCGCCACCTCCAAGGAGGTCTCCAACGCCGCCCTCGTCCCCGCCTACCAAGAAGCCTAGCAAGAGGCCAGTCCCTGCTTGCGTGCCTGCTTCGTGATGACTGTGATTGAAAAACTACTATATGCGTCCACCGTTTTTTTTAAGAAACGCAAATATTTAATTTGTCTCTCAGATACTTCTATCATTTGCTAAAAACGTCACATATATTTGAATGCTTGAATTCACTCGGTCTATGCATGTGTAAACATGTGGAGTTCATGGAACCACGTCCCTCCATTGATGACCACATGACCGTTTATTTTTTTAGGACGGATAGATGTAGGCCCTGTTTGGCACGGCTCGTACGGGCTCCGGCTTATCTAACATCGGCACTGTAGCAACACTGTAGCAAAACTGGTTTTCCTTCTTCTACTTTTCTATCTCACTGTAGCACGCGGGGAAAAGCAAAAAAAAAATGTTCTCCGGGTTCGATGAACAGTGCCGATGTCAGTGAGAGGGAGAGGGGAGGAAGGAGAAAACTGGCTTCACGCTACAGTGTTGCTACAGTGCCGCGGTCAGAAAAGCCGGAGCCGGTGCGAGCCGTCGCAAACAGGGCCGTAGTACTTGCACGTGAATCTAACGCTTTTGGCGAGCACGCGAGCGCAATGGTCACCAGCCATGAGTGGGGACGACGAAGAAACGTAAAGGGAAAGAGAAGGAAAATGGGAAAACGAACAGAGACAAATGGGCCATTACAGGCAGCATGTCGCATTACAAACAGTATCATTTCATGTCACAGTGCGTCGTGGGGCGTGCACCCGGCCAGTCATTGCCAGTCCAGTCCAGACCCAGCCCTACCCTACTCCCCCGCCGCCGCCACAGTCCACACAGGCCAGTAGCCTCCATCCAATCATTCATCGGCGTCTTCCCCGAATCGCGGTGTGTTTGAGGAACCGGGGTTTTACCATTTCTGTCCAGGCCTGTCCTCGGTCGTCTCCGTGTCCATCACTCTCCATCATCCATGCATCTCCGCCGCCCCGGCGGCCGGCCGTGCGGAAATGGTAGCCACGCCTCTCCAAACCTGGGAGCTGGGACGACGACCGGATGGATGCAGTGCAGAGGCTAGAGTGGCGCGGAGGACGTCCGCCGCAGCAGCTGGGGAGCTCTGCTCGTCGCGGGCGCCGCCACCTCCGCGGCCTCCTTCAGCTGCGCGTGCAGTGCAGATGCAGAGGGGCAAAGCAAATAAAATGAGCCAGCCACTCACACGGCCACGGCCACACCTTTAAGAAATCAAATGCAGCTGGCTTTACTGTTACTACACTTCAGGCAAGAAAATGTTACCTCCTCGCAGAGCTTCCTGAGCTCGTCGTTCTCTGCTTGGAGGAGGCTCGCCTCCTTCTCCAGCTCGTTGACGTACGCGTGCCTGCGCGCGCGGGACCGCGCCGCCGACTCGCGGTTCTTCATCTTGCGCTCCCTGCGCCGGTCACCGCCGCCGACGTGCAGCTGCAGCTCGGCGCGGCGCAGCACCTCCTGCTCCAGCGCGTGGAGTGGTGGGAACAAAGGACCCCGCGCCGCGCCGGTCGCGCCGGCGATGGCGGCGGGGCATAAGCAAGCTGCGGCTCCGGCGTCGTCGTTGATGCCGCCGCCGCCGCCCGCCCCACGCGCGAGCTGCTCCTCCCCTCGTTGTGGCTCCATGCTGGCAGCTGCTTCGCGTATTCTCTCTTGGTCTTCCTTGGCTGCGCTGCTGTGCTGTGCTGAGAGGGATGGATGGAGCCTGGCCGGGGGCCTCAGTTTACAGTCTGTTGTGTGTTTTTCTGCAAGAGCGGCCAGGGTGTTTAAAGTAGCCGGAGCACGGAGGCACTTGGTTCTGTTCATCAGAAACGCAAAGGTGGCACTCGATTTTTTTTAGTAGTCTGATAGCTTAGCCTTTTCCATAAAAAGAAAGAACACTTGAGCATCTATGGCAAATTGGTTTTGAAAGGGAAATTGTTCTTGCCCCTTTACCCTTTTTCACTAGATCTTTTAAACAAAGCAAGCAGCGCATATTCGAACTCAAACTACATTATTATTCTAAACAGATACCTGGAGCATACATGTACTCTCTTTCTTTGCCCAAGGGATTGGCTTCTCCCAATACATATTGAATAGGAAAGAGAAGAGTTTACTTGGCTAAAGGTCATATGATAACGGCCACTAATCTCATATATGGTTGTCCACGGGGTTCTCGTTTCTGCTTGGCGGATGGAGAGAATACAATTTTACTCTCCCATCCCAAAAAAAATATAGATCTTGTTTTTCGAGGAATAAAATAATCCTCAAATTTAACTAGATTTATATAAGAAATATCAATATTTATATTTTTAAATATATTTATTTTGAAAACATATTTTATGATTAATGTTGGAACACCAATACACGAGTAGCGGAGGCTACTGCATACATAAGCTAATATCATTGGAACATTTGTGTAACTATTTTGCGGGGATGCTAGGTGAGGCCTTCGCGTGTGGTCTTCGATGGAGCGAACACCCTAGCGATTCGAGTGGAGGCCGCGCACGTTTCGGGAAAAAACCCAGGAGGCCTCCGCCAAAAGCAGGAAGGCCTCCGCCACTGGCTGTCGGTAGGACGGAGGCCCGAGCATGACCCTGAAGATGTCTGGAGGAGTCCACAGGCTGAGACTTAGGAGCGAAGGCGGGGGCTCCGGCGGCTCGGGCAGAGGCTATGCTGTCTTCACCCGAGAGAAAGGGGTTTTCACAGCACCGTGGCCCAAGATCCGAGACAGGCCTCCCATGGGCCTGAGGCTAAAACCCATGAAGCAAAGGCGGTGCAGATGAACAAGACCCAGGATGCCCCTGAAGATTTGTACTGGTGTAAGGATATTCTAGGAATATACCTTAGCTGTCAAAGGGCAAAATTGTACCGTGAAGTAGTAGCAAACAGTACCCTATAAAAGGGAAACCCGGATGCTATGTAATAGAGGTTGGTAAATGCATTAATGAAACATTGATTGAGCTTGGGGCCACCCTCTAGTCCACATACCTTCGCCCAGAGCACCTGGCTGGGCGAAGGCCTTCCGTTCCCCACCTGCTGGAAACCGCCTGTTTTTCAACATTGGCGCCCACCGCGTGTTGGCCAAGCAAAACCCACATTGGCAAGGAAAAGAGCAGCCTCAGCAAGGGCACCTGCAGATCCCACACCAAGGGGAAGACCCAGGCGTAGCTCCCCAAGCACCTACACCACCGCCCTAGAAGACCAGGCTACAGAGGAGCCGGCCGTCGAAGACCATCCTCTAGCTTTCGAGGACCAGCAAGCCCTAAACCCCCACCCCGGAGCAAGAGCTTCAACAATTATAGGCTCAGTTGCAGAGCATACAGCAAGAAAGAGATAGGGTTGCAACAGCTTTTGCCGCAAACCAATGGGCAGCCCAAACATCAGCTCAGACAACAGAGATCTGGCAACAACTAGCCGTCCTACAGTGTGATACAAAGTATGCAGCCTTCACAATCTAGCTTCAACACATCCAACTAGTTCCACTCAGCAAATCAAAGCCAACCCAACCCCCCGCCACGCGCAATAGCTCAACCAACCTTCGACACGCCTTACACTTTGCCACAAAACCATAGAACCATTGATTCCAAATCACCACTATCCGAAGGCATCTAGAGCTCACCCTGGCCTCCCTCCTACAAATCCATCACTTTCCCCAAATTCAATGGAAGATCAGACCCACGCCAATTCATCATGAGCTTGAGGCAGCAGTAGCTTCCGCTGGTGGAAATGAAGCGGTGCTAGCCAAATCTTTCATCATCGCAGCCGAAGGCGACGCGCTAGCTTGGTATTCAAAGCTGAAGCCAAGTTCTATGTATTCATGGGAAGATCTTCATGACTAGATCTTAGCAAATTTTAAAGGATTCACAAGTGAATCCTTGACTTCCATGGATCTGTTCTAATGCAAGCAAAATCAAGGAGAAGCCTTAAAAGACTACTTCCAAAAATTTGTGCAAATGAAGGCAAAAGCACCCAATGTTCCAGAAGATGTTGTCATCGAAGCAGCAATCACGGACCTTCGCATAGGACCCTTCGCAGCTCATCTAGCTAGGGAAAAGCCAAAGACCATCGAAGACCTTTACAGTGAATTTGAAAATTATTGTAGATCTAAAAATGACCTCCGCAGAAGGCTAGAAGAGCAAAACTAGAGTAAGCAATTCCAGGGCAACAACAGGAACAACCAGAGAGGCAACAGAAGCCAAGGCCAGCCGTAGCCACCGCAAGGGCAAAGCCAGCAAGTCTTTAATATAGAACAGCAAGGAAGCAGCCAACAAGGGTAGCGACCGGCGAAGGCAGGCCCAAATAGTGCGCCTCAGAAACAAGTTGAAGGCAAGGGAAATGGCCAAGGTAGGAACTAGAATAGAAACCAAAACCAAAGGCAGCAAAGGCAGTACTGCTTCTTTCATGGAGAGAACAAGGTGCACATCACCAGGGATTGCCCGGATGCTAAGGAGACCTAAGAAAGGATAAAAACAGAGCAAATCCGCAACCTCCGCCACAACAACCAACAAGAGAGGTAAACCATACCTTCGCTGCATCCCCTCAGTAGCAATATAGCCCAATATACCCAAGACTATACTCCACCCAAATTCACCCATCCACTTTAGCTGCCGCCTACTATCCAAATTTCCTACCCGCATGGCGACCAAGTACTCAGCAGCAGGGGCAGACTAGCAACCAATGGGCATAAACCAACCTCACCTACATAAACCCGAGGCCTCTGCACATAACATTCATTAAGACCAACCAGCCATCTCAAGTACATAATAGGCAGCTAGAGGCATTGCCTCCGCCTCCACCAACACAACCGGCAACACCCAAAAACGAACCCATCCCAGAAAACCAACTCAACCCTCACACACCCCTACCCACCATCGACATGATATTGCCTATAGCCGGAGACTCCTCGATGGAGTTCCAGACAAAGAAGCAGAAGAAAGATCACCTCAGGTTGATCAACAACATAGCAGTTCAAGGCCCAGTGCGCTACACAGATTGGTCAAAGATGCCAATCACCTTCTCAGAACAAGATCTGCAGCTGGAAAGTTACCCTCACACCAATACAATGGTAATCAAGGCTAACATTGCAGAATGGGAAATCAATAGGGTTCTCATAGATTCTGAAAGTTCTGCAGATATTATCTTTATCAATGCCTTCGACTAGATGAAGCTAAGCAGGAGTCAGTTGTAGCCTTCGGACTCACCATTAATTGGTTTTGGAGGAAAGAGGATCAATGCATTAGGAAAAATATCCCTGCTAGTCTCCTTCAGAGGTCAGGAAATGCAAGGACATAATATATGACCTTCGACACAGTAGATCTCTACTACCCCTATAATGCCATCTTCGGAAGAGGGTTTGCAAACAAGTTTAATGCAGCCATCCATATGGGCTATCTGTGTATGAAAATACCAGCCTTGCACGGAACCATTACAGTCCACGGCAGTCAGAAGGAGGCAAGAAACATAGAAAGAGTCATCTGCAAATCTCAGCGCAATATCAGTTCTGTCGAAGCAACCAAAATCAACTTACTGGAGCCTCCGGACATGCCAAAGGGCAAAACAGATCTCAAAGATCAAGAAGAAACAAAGTCAGTCCCATTAGAAGATGTAGTGCCAGACAGAAAGGTCACTATCGGAAGCAACCTATCGGAAGAAGAAGCAGAACTCATAGAAACTTTAGCCAAGAACAAAGACGTCTTCGTCTAGTCAGCCTCTGACCTGAAAGGGTTAAGCAGGGATATTATACAACACTCCCTTGACATCAACCCCAAAATAAAGCTAAGGAAGCAGTGACAATGGAAAATGTCGGAGGATAGAATCTTAGCAGCAATGGCCGAAGTACAGATGATGTTAGACACAAACGTCATTAGAGAAGTCAAGTACTCAGAATGGCTGGCAAAGGTAGTACTAGTACCGAAGAAAAATGGAAAGATGAGAATGTGCATAGACTTCATAGATCTGAACAAAGCATGCAAGAAAGACCCATTTCCATTACCAAGGATAGATGCCTCCGTCGACAAGGTGGCAAAATGCAAACGTTTTTCCCTCCTAGACTGCTTTTCAGGATATCACCAGATCTGACTCAACAAAGAAGATGAGGAGAAGACAAGTTTCACTCCCCCCTTCGAAACTTATTGTTATATCAGAATGTCTGAAGGACTAAAGAACATAGGATCAACCTTCACCGGAATGATGAAGGCCGCCGGGAGACCAGGGTCGTTCTTCTTGACAAACAACGAAGGTAAAACAACCACTCATAAATGGAACATTGACAATTTGTGTAGGTTCGATATCTAAAAATGTAAAAAGGCGGCCTCCGCGGAACTATAAGCGAAGGTCACCACACCTCTCGCAACTTTCATATTTTCTTTACATTACATGCAAAAGGGCCTGCACTCTTTTCCTCACAAAGGGGACTCCTAACGGAGGTGAGGTTTCTAACGAGGCAGGACCTATGTAAAAACCTCTAAAAATATAAAGAGGAATTCCCCCAAGAACACCATGAAAAGCGAAGGTCAAAAGTGGCTGCCAAAAAACCCTACAAAGACCTACTATCACCGTCGGCATCGGGTAAAAACACATGGCGAAGACCTACCCTTATCAGGCACCAGATGACTATCAAGGATTAATAGCTAAAGTACAACAGC